GGCGTGCCCCCCCCCAGCACCATCCCTGACCCCCCAACCCCAACCTTGTAAATATGAGACCCAATAAAAGTCCTCGTGCACTGTGGTGGTTGGGTCTGGGGGTGGTGAGGTGGGTGGGCTGGAGGTTGTTTTGAGGGTCCTCACTCGCCCAACCTGCCCCCTCCACTTTCCCAAATTCCCATCCAGCCCTGTGCTCAGCTTCCCAGCAGCCTCACCTGCCAGGGACTGGGGCATCACATCCCAGGAGGTGCCAGCATCATCTTACCTGCTTGGGCCAGACCTTGCTTTGGGGCCCCACCACCTCAGGAGCCCAGCACGACAGGCAGCTTCAAGACACATCTTCTAAACATGATGAATAGAAACCACCCCCCCCCCAAAAGAAACCCCAACAAAGCACAACCCCAAGAGCTGAAAGGTTTGGGTTCCCAGCTTCATCCAAGCCCCCAAGGGCTGGTCTCCTCTTTTCCCACCATCACCCAAGGAACTGATTCCCCCATTGACAGGCAGGATCAACCCCACAGTGATTCCACCACCCCCCACTCCCCAATTTGGGGTACCAGCACCCCAACCCTCCTCCCTCCCCAGCTCTCTTACCCTGACCAGGTCCTTGCTCCAGGCTCTCTCTGGCCACAACTGCACAGGGGCACAGCTTGTCCTTTATAATGTCCCCGAGGGAGGTGGCACCTCCGTGGAGGTGGAGCTCCTCCCTGCTGGTGGGATCCATCCTGCTGCTCCCCCTGCCTCAGACGGGGTGCAGGATTAACCCAGCACCTGGTCCCCATCACCAGCATCTTATCTCAGCCATGAGGAGCTGGGGGGACCCAAAATCACCCCAAAATCACAGGGAAAGTGCCAACGGGGGGGGGGATGGGTGACCCTGAGCCCATGGGATGAAGAAATGGGACAGTGCTCAGCCTGTCCTGGGGTGCAGGATGTGAACCCCAAAACTTCCTGAGGGATCAGGGATGTGTCACTGAGCAGGGATGATGCTCCAGGCTGACAGGACCCTCAGTATCGGGGTGTCAAGGTCTCCAAAAGTACCAAGAGGTTATAACTGGGGTGGGGGGGGGGAAGGTCCACACTTATCCCACCACATGTGTCCCAGCCCTGCCCATGGGGGTCCGGGCACCTGCAGACCAGTTGTGGGGGTTCCTGGATGGTGCCACAGGGGACAGCAGCCCCCGGGGTGTCACACAGCAGGTGCTGAGCCCCTTGGGTGTCACACAGCAGGTGCTGAAACCCTTGGGGTGTCACACAGCAGGTGCTGAACCCCCAGGGTGTCACACAGCAGGTGCTGAGCCCCTTGGGGTGTCACACAGCAGGTGCTGAGCCCCATTTCCAACCCCTGACGTGTTCAGCAGCCCCCAGTGTGTCCCCAGGGCCCAGCACTGCCTGACCCCGGGTGGGTGACAAGGACCCGGCCACCCCAACCACCAGCCCTGCTAAGTGACAGATTCTGAATCAGGTTGGTGGGGATGACAAGAGGTCACAGCCCCAGGGCTCCAGGCTGCCTGGTTCCCAATTAAGCCGGCGCAGGTTAATGGGCTGGAGAGATGGGAGACTCACCCGGAGCAGGGGAATTTATTCAAGGCAGGAAGCTCTTAATTGCAGTAATGAGGGCGACGGGTGGGCTGAGCAGAACCCGTGTGGTTGCATCAGCCTTTCACCCTCCCCTTTGGTGCAGCTTCTCCAGAGGGGCCTTCACCTGATGACATCAGTGTGGTCCAGGGCATCATCTTCCATGCCTGGTGCAGATCCTGGGCACAAGCCCCAAAGGAATCTGTGTATCCCGAGCAGAAGCAATGGGGAATTTGCTCCCAGGCCTTTGCCAGTGGAGGCTGGTGCCCTCAGCCTGCCCAGGTGCTGCTGGGTGACAGCAGGTGGGGACAGGCTTGGTGTCACTGCTGTCCCAGAGAGGGACAAGCCCAAACACTTGGTGGAGAGGGCTGGAAAGCCCCTAACACCACGTTTCCCACCCCAGATGCTCCAAGAGGAGGAGACAGGTTTGTTTTTCCCCCCCAGCAGAAGAGATAAGAAGCCAAGGGAAGCACAAAGCCCCTTTCACCCACGTCCCACCAGGCTATGGAGATGTCAGCCTCCATCCCTACCCAACCCACCCCAGAGGAGTCTGGAAGGGGACACGGAGTGACAAGCCACAGCTCAGCAGCCTGAAGGGCTTGGCAGAAGAGGGAGCTGAGCCCCAACCACCACCTGCAGCCCCAGCACGTCCTATCCCGGCACGGCTGGACTCATCACCGAAGGAGAAAACCAACACCTTGGCCCTGACCTCACATCCTTGACCTCCAGCTATTAGCAGAGCCCTTTGCTGTGGGAAGCAATGCCTTGTGGTTTTTAAGGGAAGAGGGGTGACGCTGGTGCTGGAATGTCTAAGCAGGAGCTGCCACTATATATAGGCACGGCCACTGGCCGGGATGAGCCGTGGAAGCGCTTCCCGACCCGCGGCCATGCCCGGCAAGGCGCCCGCCCTCTGCCTCCTGGGGCTGCTGGCACTCTCCTCTGCCTGCTACATCCAGAACTGCCCCATCGGGGGCAAACGTGCCATCCTGGACATGGACATCAGGAAGGTAAGTCCTCCTAACCCCCTCCCTGCCTTCTTCCCAACCCTCCCCGAGGATCCCACGGGGAAGACGCTTTTCCCCCTCCTCATCTCCCCATCTCCCCCCGAGCAGTGCATGCCCTGCGGCCCCAGGAACAAGGGCCACTGCTTCGGCCCCAACATCTGCTGTGGGGAAGAGCTGGGATGTTACATGGGCACTTCGGAAACCCTGCGGTGCCAAGAGGAAAACTTCCTGCCCACCCCTTGCCAGTCGGGACACAAACCCTGCGGCGGCAGCGGCGGCAGCTGCGCCGCCCCCGGCATCTGCTGCAGCGCAGGTGAGGGCACCACCAGGACCCTGTCCCCTCCCCTGGGACCCCCATCCCCTCTGGGAACCCCGTCAGCAGGGTCCCCAGGCACGAGGGGTTAGGATATCAATGCGGGAAGGGGGACGATGGCCAAAGGATTTTGCCCCATCCATCCCACCCCACCTGCAGTCAGGGCAGACGCGATCTCGACCCCAGGGAAGGGGATGAAGGACTGTGAGGTTTTTTTGGGGAAGGGGCAAGGCAGACAGCAAGCTTAGGGGCTGAGGAACCAGCAAGAGTTCCCCAGCACAGGGCAGCCCACACCCCCTCCTGCTTCCATCACGATTTTCCAAACATCCCATGCTACAAAGAGATCCTGCTCCAAACCCCAGGGGGCTACAGGGCACGAAGGGAACCCAACGGTGCTTCATGCGACTGAAACCCAGCGCTGGGTGGGGGCTCTCTGGGAGGGATGGTTGCTCTGGTCCCATTTCACAGGGTGCTCTCCCCCTTTTCTCCCCTGACACAGAGGGCTGTGTGCTCGACTCCTCCTGCAACCCAGAAATGCTGATTGCCTAGAACCAGCCAGGAGAGGAGAACCTGTGGGATCCTGGATCCATGGGAACACGGCTGGGAACAGCTGAGCCACGGGCTGTGCTTCAGATTTAAGTGATTATCTATCAGCAGAAATAAAACTTGTACAGAAAAAAAAAAGAAAGGTGGGTGTTTTTTCATGTCCCCTCTCCGTGGAATGAGGGGCTGGCCACTTGGGAGGAATATAGGACTGTTGTCAGAGGATTCAGGGAGGCAGTAAGGAAAGCTAAGGCCTCTTTGGAGCTGCAAGTGAGGTCAAAGACAATAGAAAGGGCTTCTTCAAATACATAGCAGATAGAACTAACACTAGAGGCAATACAGGCCCACTGCTGAATGAGGGGGGTGCCCTGGTGACAGAGGATAGAAAGAAGGCAGAAGTACTGATGCCTTCTTTGCCTCTGTCTTTACTCCTGCAGACTCTCCCCAGGGGCCCCAAATCCCTAAAGCCCCAGAAGAAGTCAGGATGGAGGAGGAGTTTGCTTTGGTAGATGAGGGTTGGGTTAGAGATCAGTTAAGCAATCTACACATCCTTAAATGGATGGGTCCGGATGGAATGCACCCGTGGGTGCTGAGGGAGCTGGTGGAGGTCATTGCTGGGCCACTGTCCATCACCTTTGGTAAATCATGAGCAACAGGAGAGGTGCCTGAGGACTGGAGGAAAGCAAATGTCACTCCAGTCTACAAGGGCAAGGAGGACCCGGGTAACTATAGACCAGTCAGCCTCACCTCCAACCCTGGAAAGGGGATGGAACAACTTGTTCTTGACACTATCTCTAGGCATATCAAGGATGAGTGGGTCTTTAAGAGCAGCCAACACGGTTTTACCAAGGGGAAGTCATGTTTGATCAACCTTATATGATAAGTAGGTAACCAGGGAGAGGACAGTGTGACCTACAATTGGACCCCCAGGGGATGGAGATAAGGCAGCTGAAGAAGGGGGCAAAGGAGACATGCAAAAGCCAGTGAGTGTGGTCTGGGTGTCCTCTGCACCATTTTCTCCTTCAGCCACACAACAGACCT